GACCGCACCGCATCGGCGGACGCGCGGAGAGCCGTGCTGGGGGGGCGGCAGGTTCCAAGGGGACGGCCGCCCAAGAGCAGAACGAGCGGGCCGGCTGGACCACTGCCGGCCCAGGCGGGAGCGAGCTGGAGCGCAAGCCAGCGAGAGCCACGGAACGAGCGAGAAGCGATCGCCGGCGGTGCGAAGCACGAAAGAAAAGGACCGGGGAAACGCGGCCGGCAGAGGAACCACGGGACCCCGACGAGCGAAAGGCGAAACGGCAAGGGCGCGCCGGCGCACCAGCGGAAAAAGCCCGGGCACGTAGGAAGAATAAGAAAGTAAGGCGAAGCTGGAGAAGCGCCAACCGACGGAAAGGCGGCTGGGAGAGCCCGGGTAGAGGGGTGTGTGTGTGCCGGGAGACGGGAGTCGCGGAGGAGGCGGGACCAGCAGTCCAGCCGAGAGAGGCGCAGGCGTGTGTATGATATATATATCTGTGTGGCGAAAGCAACTGAGAACGCGTGGGGCCGGAGGCGTAGCGGCGGCCGCCGAGGAGGAGCACAAAAAGAGGGATGAGCATGAGGGACCAAAGGAGTAAACCACGAACACCGGCCGCGGGGGGCGCCGCGCACGGGGAAACGCCGCGAGCGACGGGAAACCGCCGCCACCAGGGACAAAGCTCAAGAAGGGAGCGCAGAGGCGAGAGGGCGAGCACAGGCAGGGGCGAACAAAGTAACCCCTTAGTTGGGAAAGGAACCCCGTAGGGAGGGAGGGAGTGCAGAAAAAGGTGGAGGAACCGCGGCCAGTCGCCACGCCACCGGCCCCAGGCACTGCGTGAGCGGATATGCGGGAAGGACACAGGGCCCCACAAGAGGCTGGGGTCCGAACTGCAGTCCGAGAGAACCGGAACCGGGGCAGATAGAGAAAGAGAGCTGCGAGGCCGGGCAGTGGCGAAAGGGCCGCGTCAACCGCGGGGGCACCCCCCCAAGAGCAAAGGGCGGGAGGAGCCACAAGATGAGGAAGCGGTGGAGCCAAGAAAACAAATAAGATATCGGGCGGGCGCCGGGAAACTTCACACCAAAACAAAGAAACGAGTGCGAAAGAATGGAGGGCCGGGGGGCGAATCGAGAGGGGCCAAATGAAGAAGCGCGGGGGCGACGGAGAAAGCGACAACGCTGCCAGCGCGAAGGAACAAGCAACGCGGGGAGAAAGAGAGGCTTGACCGCGCAAAGAACAATGGCAATCGCGGCTAGGGGGACGAGCGCGACAACGCGAGGCAGAGAGGGCGGGGGGAAGCCGGGTGGGCAGGGAGGAAAGGGACGCGACGCGGCGGCCTGGCGGGAACAGAAAGAGAAGCGCGGGCGCGAATCGCGCGCAGCCGGTGGGAGGGGCCGCCGAAGCGTAGAGGCGCAGAGCGAGGCGGAGCGAAGCGGGAGGAAGCGCCGAAGCCCGAGGGGCCGGCGGAGAATGGCGGCAGCTAAGCGACGCCCGCCGCCGGAGCAGAGAGAAGCAGGCAACGGAGGGCGGAACGAAGGAGCGCCGGGGAAGGGCTGAATCGAGTAGAGAGAAAGCCCGAGGAGGGGAAACGACCACGGAGGGGTGGCGAGAGAGAGGGGACCGCGGGAGAGAGAGGGAAGCATGAGGCAAGCTGGGGCGGGCAAGAGCCGGCCAAAGGACGACAGGAGCAGCAGCTCGACTCGACCGCAAGGCACCAAGGCGAACGGGATTACAGAAGGGGGCCGGACCCAGCCGTACCGGCGACCTTTAGACCGCAGGGGAATGACCGAAGGAGAAGGGGGCGGGCTGGCGTGGCAGGAAGGGAAGCAAGCGGCCCGACCGGCGGAAAAGAAGAGCACCGGGCCGCGGCCCAGCACTAAGGACGCGAGTGGCGAGGCCAACAGCACAGGTCGAAGCAGAGTGGGCGGCACCAGCAGAGGGACGCAAAAGAGGGTGGCGGGAGAGGGGCGAGAGAGAGCGGACGACGAGCGGGCGCGAGCAGGACCGAGCGTGATGGCGCAGCCAAAACCGGGAGAGAGGCCAACAGACGCAGGGGGAACAGGCTTCCACGGCGCGCAAATGAAGGCGGCATTCGCGCAGGAAGCCGAGGGCGGAGGCAATCAAGCCGGAGGAGACAAGACGAAAGCGGGCACGAGAGGGGCAAGCGAGCGGGAGAGAAGCCGGGGGACGAGGGAGCGCGCCAGCCAGAGTGGCAGGGAAGGGCTGGCAGAAGAGAGGCAGGCGAGCAGCGAGAGCTACAGGCAAGGCGACCGACCCATGTAGAAGGAGCAAGCTAATAAATCCAGAAGGCCGGGGACAGAGAAAGAAAAAGTAGGGGCGGGGGCGGGCGAAAGGAGAAGGGAAGAGGCAAGGGGGTGCAAGGAGCGGACGAGGGGGCGGAGGCGCGGGCGGCCGGAGGGAGCGATTGCGGGGGGGTGAGGGGAACGAGAAGGCAGTGGGGCTGGCAGGGAGGGGGCGGCGGGCAGGGCCCAACAACAGGAGGCGGAGCGGGAGGCAGAGAGGCGCGGCGCGGTAGCGGCGAGGCCGGAGAAGCAAGCCTCAGGGCCGTACAAGCAAGCGCAAGCGGGACCGAAGACGCACGTGGAAAGCAACGCGGCGCCTGAAGCGGCGCGGGGAGAAGGAAAAGGCGGGCGGCGGGCGAGGAGGCCAAGCCCCGATGGGAGGCAAAAGCAAGGCAGGCGAGCGCGGGAGCGAGGGTGCGGGGCGAGCCCAGCCGAGGACCGGCGGGGTTGAGGTGGAAAAGAGGGGGGGACATGCCGGGGCAAGACGGGCGGCGGCGAGTGAGGGGAGATTGGCCCGGGCGAGAAAGGGGAGGCGCGGTGAGGCCCGGCCCAAGCGCGGGGGCACGGTCTTGCGCGGAGGGCCCCCCGCAGGGCGGCGCCGGCTTCGCGAGCAGCGCGCCGGGCGGGGGGAAGGCGAAGGGCGCAGGCGGCGCACCAAGAGCTGGCAGAGGGCGGCAGCCCGGGCGGGGCGGCGGGCGGTGGCCGGCGGCGAACGAAGAAGGGCGCGAAGGGGCATGTAAGCAGGGAAAGACCAGAGGGGGCGGCAGGGAGAGGCCAGGGCAACCGCGCCCCGGGCGCCAGGCCGCAGGGCCGAAGCACGGCGGTGCGGCCGGGGAGCCCGGGGCCGGGGGGGGGGAGCCCGCGCGCAGCCCCCCCCGGGGAAAGCGAATCAGGAAGCCAGTGCCAGGAGGAGGGGAAGGGGCAGGGGCGGCCAACCGTCAGGCCGGTCCCCCGGCGCCGCCCAGCGGGGGGCGGCGAATGAACGAGAACGCAGAAGCGAAGAGCACAAGGACGGAGGACGGGGGACTTGCAGGGGCCCAGCCGGCAGGAACGCGAACGGCCAACGACAGGGACAGCGGCAGTGGCCGTCCCGATGGAGGCAGGGAAAGAAGAGGAGAAGGGGGAGCCAAGCCAAGAGGGGGACGGAAGGGCGGGGAAAAACATGAGAGCCGAGGCCGAAAGCAGCCGAAGCAATACAACGGGCGAGAAGACGCACACGCATGAGCAAGACGCAAGGAGGCGAAAGGAGCGAAAGCAGCAGAGCAAAGCCGCAGCCGGAGCTGAGAGCGACGATGCAGAGCGAAAATCCAAGGCAAAGGCACGGGGGCGAGAAAGGACAGCGAACGGCCGCCGAGACGCAAGAGCGTCGTAAGGGCAACCCGGATCACAACAGCCGATTGACGAGGAGGGAAGCGAGAAACAGAGGACAAGCCGAGCGATCGATGGCGCCGAGCCTAGAGGGATGACGGTCCGGGGGGCCAGTGCACTACGGGGCCAGGCAAAGCCCCGGGGCGGCGCCGACAAGCCAACAGACAGACACGGAAACCGAGAGGGGCGGGGCGCCCCCGCCGCAGGACCCAGCAGGGGCGCGCAGTGCGCCCGGGGCGGACACCAGCGACACAGCGCCAGCAAAGAAAACGAGCCCCCCCGCGCAAGCAGAGCACAGGCCCGCGGCGGGCGCGGACACTCACGGCCGCCGCCGCAGCCAGGGCAAGCCGGCGGGGTGACAGCGCAGGCCCGGAGGCCCGCGAGGAAAAAGACCCCCGCGCCGGGCGGGAAGTAAATGCCAACAAACGAGGCCAGGCCGGGCGAGGGCCCACGCGGACGGACGCGGAGTCGACGGTGACGCGGAAGCAAGTGCAGGCAGCGAAGCGGACGACGGAGACAGAGGGCCAAACGAGGAGGCTAAAACGCAAAAGGAGAGCAGGCGAGGGAAACAGAAAAGGAAGGCCCGGAAGCCGGCGGGACGACGATCAGCCAGGAAGCGAACCGACGAAGGGCCCGGGGGGCGCGGGACCAGGACAGCCAGAGGCATAAGAGACGCAGCGATGGGAACGAGGCGGCGGCGGAGGCGCCGGCGCGGATTGCGGCCGGGAAAGGCCAAGAGGCGAGAAAAGAAGGCAAGAGCGAAAGACGGGGGGTCCAGAACGAACAAGAGACGGGGAGAAGGGAGGGGAGCAAAGGGAGATCAATGAGGGGAAGGGGAGAGAACAGGGAGGGAGGACCAGAGCGGCGAAGGCGCCCAGGGGGAGCAAGGGAGCCACCAGGTGACGGAAGACGGAAGGAGGGGGAGAAGCGACGGGGGCCAGCACGGAGGGAAAGAGGCAGCCGGGGCGACAGTTGAAGCGGGGAAAACTCAGGGCACCCAAGGAAGAAGGAACAAGAGGAAGACAGAGGGTAAACGAGCAGCCCACACCCAAAAGGGCCCACAGAGGGCTGCCCGAAAACCCCCCACGCGAACGAAGGGGAAACAACGGAGAATAAGGCACCCCAGGGCGAGACGCGGGTCCGGACCCCTCAGGGGGGGAATGAGCGCAAGAAAAAAGGCGGAGGGGGAAGAGAACCAGAATAAGGGGGAAGAGCCGTAACGAGAGAAAACAAGACAGATCGCAGCCGAGGCCGCAGGAACAGGGACAGACAGATACGAGAAGGTCCACCGGGGGAAGATCGAGGGGCGACCGAAGACGGAAGGAATAGCCAGCGCGGGGAAGAACAACGAAGCCA